AATATCTGGAATAGTAGCTACACATAGAAAATGTCTAATGAATGTACAGTAACTATGAAAGGAAGGCTAGAATGAAAGCAGACAAAAAAGAAGAAAGAGAATGAGCACATTTAAATTACCAAGTAATAAACTCTGGTCCAGAGCCATTTGATTCCTAAACTGATGCCCTTGATAACTAGGTAGAATTGCTTCCTGCTACTCATAACTAACTCTAAATGGATGTATGTTGACAAAATCCTCTCCTCAACTTTTTGTAACAAAATTATAGCAAGCATGAAAATCAATGGATGTAAACCTAGACATAGGAAAGAGAATTGTAGGAGAATAAATAGAGGACAGTTTTCATCAATAAAAGAACATAGGTGGGGAGATGACACTTAACACCCTGCCCCTTGTTTCAAAGGAAATAAAGGAAACATTTGTAATAATTAACTCCACTACAAGATGATTGTATCATAGAATGTGTGTGTATATGTAGTTTTCAATTTCAAATAACTCTGAGAGTAATTGACTAATGAGTGATTTATAAATAATACAAAAATAAACAGATATCACTGATTTGATAGTTATGGAGTGATACCAAGTTTAAGTAAATGATTATTTCCAAAAGTTTTTTTTTAATTTGGTACTAATGCATTCTTATTCCAGAGTGCTATTTCTTTAATCCAATTAGCTAGAAGGCACTTATTCACAACCACTCAGCAATCTCTGACCTCTTAAGGAGTTGTCACATTAGCAGAGTAGGAGAACCAGTATGGCAGGATGTGTTCTTCAGACTTAGTAAAGGCAATTTGAAGACCACTTGATACTCACTAGCACTTGCATTCAGAGTATCCTTGGCTGCCACAAGTAGTGCATGGGAAAATGAGAAATCTCTTTCTCTAGTGATGTGGGAGGACTAGTTTGATAAAACACCTAAGGAAATTGCTAGATATCCATCAAGTCTGGAAAGTGAATCAGGCCGGAACTTAACAATTCTACCACTCAGTGATGATTCTAAGTACACATTTAGCACAGCTTGTTTTGTTAGTGTGGACATTAAATCCAGATTACAGATGCATGGCAGTAATCCCAGAGATGATCATATGGGATTTCTCTTTGAGAGTAAAATTTTACATGCTTGCTTATGTGTATGAGTGTGCCAATATGGGAAAAAGATTATAGCTAATGAGATCAAACCAAATTATTAGTTGGGTGTATCTATCCCTGGTTGTAACTCTAAGCTAATTCCTGCATGGATTCAATTGTCCTAGACATCTGAGAGTCAGCTTAGCAACAGTGCCATTTTTAAAGACAATTTATCATTCTGATCAGGTATGCAAATAATCAATGAATAGCATTGCATAAAATTGCTTATTGTACCCAAAGTTAATATAACTTGACTTTTGTTAGTCATTTATTCAAATGGCTTTTGGATATTTATTTTAAACCTGACACTGAATTAGGAATTGGGAAAACAAAAATGCCTCAAACCCTGTTCTGACCTAAAGGAGCCATAAGCTAGTGAAAGAGAGATGTATACCCAATAGCTATAATTCAAGGTAGTCAGTAGTGAATGCTCAGTTCTTCTTGCTTCCTGGAATGCTCTTCTAACCTAATCTTCCATTTACTATCTTGAAGAAAATTGTATCACTCCTTAAGGACTCATTTCAAATTATTCTTTCCCAGCAAAGGCTTCCCTGATATTCCTCATCTCCTCTACCCCCAACACCAAACATACACACCCAAACCCTTTCCTATAACTTTAATTACTTTTCTGTGTTCCCATAGCACTTTACTCATAGTTCTATTATAGAACTCATTACAACAATTTATATTTGGTTGATTATATGCCTGTACCTCTCACTATGTTGCAAGTTCTTCAAGAGCACTAACTGACTTTTGTTCATCTCTGAACTCCTCATCACTAGCATATAGTAAAGAGTCAAAAAAGTTTGGTTTGAGAGCTGGAGAGGTAGCTCAATAGTAGAGTGCCTGCCCAGCATGTCAAGGTTCATTCCCCAGCACCACAAAAAATAAATTAAATAAAAAATAAACAAAACAACAATAAAAACAGGTTTGATTTGAGGGAAGGAATGGAAGAATATCAGCAAACATGAAAATCAACTCATAGATAAAATTTTATGAGAATATATAGGGAGGAGTAGTTAAGTCCATAATTCCAGTGAGTTGACTTTATAGACAAGGTGGATTTGAGATGACCCTTGAAAAAATGAGTATGATTTGACATATAGAGATGGGTGTTGGGAGAAGGGAGGAAGGCAAAAAGGGCCTTTATTAGTTTTGTTTGTTTGTGGTGTACTAGGGATTGATCCCAGAGGTACTTTACCACTGAGTTACACCACCATATTTTATTTATTTATTTATTTTTAATTTTAAGGCAGAATCTCACTAAATTGCTTAGAGCCTCACTAAATTGCTGGGGCTGGCTTTGAACTTGTGATCCTCCTGCCTCAGCCTCTTGAGCTGCTAGGATTACAGGCATGCACCATTACACCCAGTGAGAAGGGCTTTTTAAAGCAGCACTTCTTAACAATTTCAGAACTTTATTCATTGTGGCAAAATAATGCTGTTAATTACATATGTTCTATATCTGTACATGTAAGCAAACCTAAGCAGGGACTGTATTTACTAGAATTTTAGCAGGCATTTGGAATTAATATGCATTTTGAAAATGGTAATACTGTGTTGTTCTTTTTAAAAATTGACATTCTGGATCATTTTTACTTCCTCCTTCCCCACCCGCAAAATAGTCCAGAATTTGGCTAGTTGGCACATTGTAAATTCTCATTCTTTGATCTCAAATCTTGTGTTGAAAAGAATTCCTGATTTTCTCATATTTCCCAGGACTGCAGATTCAATGATTAGCCAAGCTACTGCTGCTAAAAAGAAAAAAAAAATCGCATTGGGGCCCAGTCCTTCTAACCCTACCTGCTTACTCAGAGTCATTCTCCAGTCACCAGAGAAAATCAAAGTCTGAACTTGATAATCTCTGAAGGTCCCTTCTGGCTATAACATTCCCTAAAATCTTGTCTGCTCTAGCTGGAGATTGGAAGTCTAGATGAACCTAATTGTTACTATGTAAACTCTTGACCCAAAGGATATTTGATGCCCCATGTTTATTTTCTTGATAATATTTACAGGGAGGCTATTTCTAGCCTCAAGATACACCCTCCTAAGAGAGCTCTGAAAATTGGGTGAGAAAACTACAGTTCCTACAGATGGAGAAATCACCAGCCCTGAAATATAGCTTCTGACTGCAGTAATGAATGCTTAGGGCCATCAGTCACTCTTTTTTTTTTTATTTAGAGAGAGAATTTTTTTTTAATATTTATTTTTTAGTTTTCAGTGGACACAATATCTTTATTTGTATGTGGTGCTGAGGATCAAACCCAGAGCCACATGCATGCCAGGCGAGCATGCTACCGCTCTAGCCACATCCCCATCCCAACCATCAGTCACTCTTTGTGGGGTGTGTGTGTGTGTGTGTGTGTGTGTGTGTGTGTGTGTGGTGTTTATTGAGGAGGAGACAAAGGCAACAGAGAAGAATGTCAAAAACTAATATTTCAGAAATATAATCTTTGGATATTTTCATTTGCTTGTTCTGACCAATCAGTAACCAAAATAGAACATGTATAAATAACCCGACCAAGGATCATCCCTTGATTTTGCCAAGTTGGAAGGACGTGATGGACATTAGCAAGCTACTATTAGAACAGAGTTGCCTTCTGGGGTATAATTGGCGTAAGTGCATGCTGAGAGTTGGGGGAAAGCCATGGAAAGTTTCTTTTTTTTCTGTGACTATAAGTAGTCAGAGGGAAATTTCCCAAATTAAATATCTTTTGTGCCTAGATGATTTGTGGCTATATCGCTCTCAACTGTGCAGTAGATACATGATCTGGCAAAACAAAGTCTATGCTTATGTCAACCCTCTTCTTATATTACTCATCTCTTCTTTACCAATCTAATAACTATCCATCACTCAAAGACATATTCTTTAGAAATCTGTCCCATTCTTTCAAATCCTGTTCTCCATTAAGTATTTCCTACCTATTCAGGCCATTGTAGTTATTTATTCCTTCAATTTCAATAATTTGTTTTATACCATTTGAGTATTTCATTGTTTTCTAATCATTTAATTGGAAATAGTAAGGCATAGTGGCTAAAACTTCTGCATCCTGTATGACCTTGGATAATATATGTGATCTTTTAAAACTTCTATTAACTTAAGAAATAAATACTTATACCTCATAGGATCGTGCTGATAGGTAAATGAGAATAGTGCATGCCAAGTGCTTTACCTGGCCTGTAGCAAGTGTTCAATAATTAGTGGTAGTAGTGGGTGGAGGTGGTGATAGTAGTGCTAATAGTTCATCCTCATTACCATCATCCTCAGTCTCTTCAACTAGATTATATAACCATTGAGGGCAGGGGCCATATCTCCTGTCTGCTTTTTACTGGTATTCCCCTGACCTCCAAAATACTCATTTGGCTAATTTGATGTCTGCTGATGATTGCTCAGCTCTTTTAATAGTACTTCCTCAAAAATATAAAATTGCATCAGTTGTATAATATTCATATTTTATCACCAACTACAGAAACCCTGTGATGCTTTTTCTTGTTTTGCATACAGGAGTAGTTTGGGTGGAAGTTGCTGCAGTAATCATATGCTCATAGACTGAGAAGAATAGGAAACTTCTTAATCCTCTCAAACTCCTGTGGTGTTTTCCCTTGGATTAAAAAATAATAATAATAAGAGAGAAGGAAGGGAGGGAAGGAGAACAGGAAGGAAACACACTACAATGCCATCTGGTAAAATGCTTTCAAATTCCATGATTTCCTGCCAGTTTAAGCTATATTGTTTTCAAGCATTGAGGCCTTAACCCCCACTTGCCTATCAGACTATTTCTGTAAAGAGTTTGTCAGAATTTGCATTGATAAATAAACTAAATACTAGAACCTTAACACAACAAATTATTTGGCCTGTCATTTCTTTTCAGCTGATAATAGTAGAACTCTGAATGTAGATTCCACTGCAATGACGCTACCTATGTCTGATCCAACTGCATGGGCCACAGCAATGAATAATCTTGGAATGGCACCACTGGGAATTGCTGGACAACCAATTTTACCTGGTATGTTATTTTTAATCATCTCACAAGTTCCTTCTTTTTATTGACCATGTGGTAATAAATATACAGTATGACATAACTTATTTTGAAGTTGACATTTGCCAGATTCTGCCTAGAGTGTGCATTATTGTAATATGAGCTTTATAGGCTGGGTGGCCAGTAGTTACTAGTGCGCTCTTGATTGTCTTTTGGGCAAACTGGGGGCATATATGATGTAGACTAGGGTACTGGACTAAATGTTTAAATGTTAAATACAGCTCACCAAAATAAAAAGCAACATGATTTTGGCAAATAATTACAAAGCATGACTACTTTTATAGATTTCTTAGATGAGTCAAAACATAGACAAGGAAAGAGAACCAACTTGAATATCCCCAAAATCCTAGATTCCCAAAAAGGACACATGGAGAATGTAGAGATAGCAGCCCAAAGACTATTTTTAACATTGAATGACTTTGTTTATAACTATATATGTAAACAAAGTGACCAATAAGATAATGGGCATGGTGGAGTAACTCCATCTCCACTGAATATGAAATCTGAAGAAAAATTCCCCAACATGTGAAGGGTTTAGTTTAGGCACACAAAAAAAGCTTCTTGGCCAGTAACAGTTAATTAGCCATCACAAAGAGATTGGGAAGACATTAGGGAATTGACGTCTCAGGGAGCCTAGGATAGTTTTTTCAACAGCCTAAACATTAATCTCCCAACAACCATTTAGTTGTGATCCTATTTAAAAGCACTCAGACCACTCTAGAGTCCTGTTATTCATAGTATGTTCTGCATAATCTGGGAATTATTTAGAACCCAATTATTTAGACCCAGCCCAGACCTACTGGGTCAGAAGCTGCATTTTCACAGGATCTCCAAGTGATTCACAGGCATATTCATGTTGAAAAATATAGAGTCATGGCACTTTTCTGTGCCATTTGTCTATCTAGTTAGTTACTACACCCGCCTCTCAAATAATTTCTCATTTCCAGTCCAGATTTTAAATCATTATAGGTTATAATGGAGATGAGGTAGACTAGGCAACAACAATATAAATAATAAACTAAGAGATGCTATTACATTGAATGTCAGGAAACAAGCATAAAAACACCAAACACGAAGGGGGGGAAAAAGGTATATGAGTGAGAAATAGGCAGAGAAAAAAAAAGGAGACTAAATTCTGTGTGTGGCAGAGGCAAAAAAAAAAAAACTATCATACCAATCTTTAATTCCTATCATGGACTATGCAGTTGGCTAGACGGCATCCTTTTCCATTAGACCAGCCATGACAGAAATGAACAACCAGGGATTCTTTGAGGGCTGGAATGATTGGACAATGGATCTCCTTAGATTTGAAGTGACTAATGGAGCCAATCTGGGATGAGTGGGTGTTATTATAAGAGCAAGTTTTACAGAATGGTCAAGATCTTAGACTCTGGATTCAATCTGCCTGGCTCCAAAGCCTTTTTCTTTTTCAGTATTTGATGTTGGGAAGTTTCATGCTTATATGGGCATATGTGTATATATCTGTTATACACAGAAATACATATAAATATGTAAGATTTGTGCTGTAAATAGCAATGAAGGATAAAGAATTTGGGAGTGAAATTTTCCCTGGTGAAACACTGGACAGTGGCAGTTAAAGACAACATATACATCTGATGCCTGCTCCTTATGAACCTGGTGGGGACTTCCTCAGAAATGGAAGGTTGGCACCACATTTCAGTGGTGCCTACACTATTTGTCAAGGTCTAGGGGAGAGGGTGCCTGCCATCTTTATGATGTATTAACCTCCCTCATCCTCTTCTCAACCTGGAAGATTCCTTAAAATCAAAATGGCAGAAAATGACCCTTGTGGAGCTGTTCTCTGAAGTCACCTATTGGCTTAGTAATTAAGCTACTTTTCTCCACTAGGGAAGTTTCCTACTGAGCCAGCAGACTGTTCTTTTTCCTGTCTCATCTGTCCTGTCTGTGACAATAGAAAAGGTTTTGGCATTGATGAAAAACAAATGATGCGTAAGCTTTCTTGACTTCCCCCCAGAGAACTCAAATCTATACTATCATGGATGCTGAGTCTCATGGACACATGCTTGTCATGAAGGCAATGTCTGGCATAATTATTATATTCATTGAGTAGTGAGCAGAGACAGGCCAACTCTGGGGTTTGGCATGGAGCTTTCACCTAACATGGTGTTTTGTACAGCTGTTATCCAATGAAGTTAATCCACAGTAATGAAAATACAGTAATCCTTTCTTGCAACTATCTTTTCTGCAAGAGTGTTTGTTTTGCCAAACTGGTCAAATAAGACTAATTATAGTTTTCACATGAAAAAAAGTGCCCAAGAGTCAGGTCCTCTGGTCAAAGAGCATTTTTCAGCCCCAAGTCATCCCAGATGAAACCAACCCACAAAGGGATATTTGTTGAATAAATGAACCTACTAAGGAATATTTGTTTGATACTGCTTGCTGCTTCCTTTATTTCCCCCTCAATTTAAATATCCTTAGCAGCCAAGTGTGGAGCTCAATAGATAAGAGTCCCTCATCATGGTGTCCTCACTATAATGATTGCACTATAATGAGAGATAATAGAAAATATGGACTCATGGACCTTATTCCTAAAGCAAGACCCTGCCCATCTGTGGGCATTGACTTTGTTAAGGAGAAAACTGAACTCAACTGATCAACTCTGATGAGAACAGAGAAAAAGAATGAGGTTATGTATCTCATGACAGGCCGTAGTCCTTCAAGCTCCTCGAGGAGGCCTGGACTTAGGTTTATATTTTCTTTACTATCTTTCAGATAAAAGTATACTTTCAGTACTAAATAAGATGAGGCATGAAGAAAGTGTACTGTTCAATGTCATGGTGAACAATTTACAAAAACCAATACTATGTAAAACTTCATACCACATAAAATTAATATTTCCCCCAAACAAGCTTGAATCCTACCAGTACTCTCAGGACTCCTTATGTAATGGGTTCCTACCCAAAGATATCTAGTTCTTCCCCAAGATTCCATGAATACTCTTATACTTACACAAGATTAACTGAGCCATGGGGGATAAACAGGAGATGGTTAACATAGTAGAAACCAGGTATCAAGCCCCATAAAAGCTGATGCCTAGACCTTTCTCCCAGGGACTGTGTTTTAGTCAGCTTTTTTTGCTGCTGAGACAAAAAGACCCATCCAAAACAATTGTAGAGGAGAAAAAGTTTATTTGAAGGCTCACAGTTTTAGAGGTCTCAGTCCATTGACAGATGGCTTCTTTCCTCAGGGCTGGAGGAAAAGCTAAACAACATGGCAGAAGAGTGTGCCATAGGGAAGCAGCTCACATGATGAACAGGAAACAGAGAAAGAGAGAGATCTCCACTTGCCAGATACAAATATATACTCTAATGCCATGTTTCCCAATAGCCCACCTCCTCCAGCCACAACCCACCTTCTTTCAATTACCACTCAATCCCACCAGGTGATTAATTCACTGATTGGATTATGGCTCTCACAACCCAATCATTTCCCCTGAGCTTTTGAGGGACACCTGACATCCAAACCACAACAGACTGTTACACAAAAAATAGATATTGTGGTACTCATTATCAGTCTATGCATATAAATGCTGTGGAGCTGTTTTCATGTGGAAATATTTTATATTATTTAAAACATTTACAAGAATACATGAAGCTCAATGGCTGGAGGATCTTTGAGATAAGGATTACATGGCCTTAACTACCTGATAGGCCTTAACTAAATGATAGAAACAGACATTTTAAAAAAAAAAAAAAAACTCCCCATGGAAACTATTAGGAAAGGTCTGAGTGAAACTGTCTATTCATTTATTCATAAAAGAAATATTTCCTGAGGCCTGCTGTGTGTAAGGTACTGGGTGACCCCTGGGGAGAAAGCAGTGAACAAAATAGTCAATGATTCCTGCCCTCATACTGACCCATATTTTCTCCCTAAAAAAAAAAAAAACTTTTCTCAGGTATGAGCTGCCTGTTGACTGACAATAGCTCTAAAGCCTCCCATCTGTTTTGTTCATTTGTTCTTACATCCAAGCAACTGTTCATTAAAAATATATATATATATATTGCCAGTCACGGTGGCATGTATCTGTAATCCTAGTGGCTCAGGAGGCTGAGGAAGGAGGATCGCAAGTTCAAAGCCAGGTTCAGCAACTTGGTGAGACTCTAAGTAGCTTAGTGAGATTCCATCCCATTTCAAAATAAAAAGGGCTGGGGATGTGCATCAGGGGTTAAGAACTCCTGGGTTCAATTTATACACACACACACACACACACACACACACATATATATAAATAGATACTGGGGCACTCATTAAAATATTTTTAAATATTTTATTTACCAAATATATATGTATACATATATATACATATATATAATTTACCATGTATATTATATATATATACATATATATGTACATACATATGTATATTATATTTTATATATATACATATATTTTAGACAGACTAGGTCAGGGTGATCCAAAATGGGTATGGTTCAATCCTTGCCTTCAAGCTCAGAGTTCAGGTGCTGAGGCAACAAAATAAATACCAGTATACTTCAGTGTATCAAGTATCAGAGTAAAATCTTGCACAAAATAATTTTAGCCAGGGTAGAGTAGGGAGTGTTAAGTAAATGGTGGTGCTCAGAGTGAGGTTCACAGAAGAATTAACATTTGAACTAAGTGTCCAGGGACATATAGGAGTATCGTGGAGATAAAGAACTAAGAATAGTCTAGGCATCAATGACTGGAAGGTGTGGAAGAGTAGATAGTATAGAAGCAATAGATACCTACTGAGTTGAACTATAGCACCTTATTCCACAAAGACTTTGAAGCAGCTTAAAACAGAGGCTATGCTATAAGAGAAACTACAAATAAAATAAGTCAACATCTAGGAAAATATAAATGAGAATAGAAGGTGAAGACCAGGTAAGGAAGTTAATTTAAATTAAGATGTGTAGGTCATAGGATCCCACTCAGTTTCCAAAGTT